TCGTGGACGTCGTGGACGTCGTGGAGGCCGGCGGTGGCTGCGATGGCCGCGACTGCGGCTGGGCCAGACGTGGATGAGGACGAGGAGGTGGCGGAGGTGGCGGAGGAGGCGACCGGCTGGCCAGGGTGCAGTGGACCCGGTACTGGAAGCAAGAAGACCGGCTGACTGGCGAGACTGGTCTCTGACAATCGGCTCATGTTTTGATCAGTCTGGACGATGCCTGAGCCGGGCGAAGTAGACAACGGCGATGCTGATGATGGTGACGACGACGATGACGATGACGATAAAGGTGATACGCGCGAGAGAGGCTGGCCGCGCAGACGATCCGCCTGAGAGACAACTCTGCTGACGAGCAAAGGCGGGCAAGTGTGAGGGCCTCGGGCGGGCGGGTGATTAGGGTTGGAGACGGGCGGCGAAGGAAGACAGACGTACTCGCCGGACGACTGGCTGGCCGCGAGGAGTCGGCCAGTTGTCGAGTCCGTCTTGGTCCGCCTAGCGTTGGCTGGATGGGAGGCTGGAACAAACGTCTGGCCAGCCTCGTTACTGGTACCGAGCAAGGTCGGTCGGGGCAACCGAGGCAGCCGAGGCAATCGAGGCAATCGAGGCAGGGCGGGCTGAGGCGCAGCAACGGCCGAGGGCGTCTGATCGAGACAAATCGGACCGAGCCATTTGGTCGTCTCGGCGGGCAGCCCAAGAGGCAGTCGACTGCGTCCACCTGATACAGCTTTGCCTCCCCTCGACAAGTCATTTGGAGGCCGGACTCGTTTGGCACGTGGTTGCCTTGGCTGGGCAAGTTTCTTCCTCTTTTTCGCCTCTGCCTCCGCCGCCACCGCCACTGCCATCCTCGACTCCAAAAGGTCCGTCTGCCCAGTCGTCGAGGAGACGAGGGAGGAGATGATCTTCTTCTCCGAGGTGCCGAATCTCAGGTAGGCTGTCACGTCGTCCCGGTTCACCTCGTAGGCGTTGGGCGGATAGACTCCGGTGTACCTGGCCACGGCGGCCTGGTGCTTGCAGTAGACACCGCCGTCGGCCGCCTCGCAGGAGCACATGCCCAACGAGATGTCGACAATGTTGTCCGTCTGGCCGGACAGACTGTCTCGCACTCGGTAGTATGCGGTGCTGGCGCCAACCACCGACAGCTCGTCTCCGGCTGCGCTACAGGCACGGATCATCCACTTTGAGATACCCGCCGACGCGTCGAGCACCGGCTTAGCGACCCGATACCAAAAACTGCTGTCCACCTTTTCGGCGATGATGTTGCGCAGTTTCTGCTCCACCACCGTCGCCACAGTCTCCACCAGACGCCGGGGATCGTAGAAAACGTTCTGTCCTGTCAAGTGGCTCTTCAACAGTCCAATGTACTCGCCAAACGGAGAGTTCTTCAGACCCCTCGTAAGGAGCCGCCTGCGCAGGTACAGCGCCCACTCTGACCGTCGCTGGTGCAACTCTGCAAAATAATTGCGCACCG